TGATCAGACCAATGCCCACCATGTTGACCTGCTGCTTTTGCAATGCCGAACTCAGTTCAGATGACGAGATCCCCCAACACATGCACTCTCACTGCAGCCCCGACTCCAGCCCATTGACTGTCACCATTTTTTGTGAGCACCTCACAGTTGCAGATGTCATATACACTGACACCATGAGCAGATGAGCACCTCCAGCTTCAAGATTTTGGAAACAAGGGCTGGAGATGTCCACAAATGTCCTACAACTTTATGGGGTTTTCGCTGGAAATGTCGAAACACTTGGCAGAGCACTATGCCAGTCCAGTGAGTGCATATACTGACCTAACCAATACTGTACTGGCTTGTCGCATCTCAGGACTGTACCATGTTCCCCAAAAAACTGTCTCACAGCCAGTCCTCACAGATCAAGGACATTTTCACAGAGAGAGGAAATACCAGTACCTCGCTACTCACCAAAGAACAAAAGTGGGCTGCTTGTGATGAGGTTACTAATCCCGCACACACCAAGAAAATATGCAGTGTTCAGGGACAGCAGCTTCCCATGAAGCCTTCAAGCTCAGGAAGTGGTGACAGGCACAGTAAAGGCAAAGATTCTATCATGGCACGATTGCGACAGTCTAGTAACGATAGCCCCACTCCCCATTCCGGCTCCTCAACCATGCCCTTCGATTTCATAGGCCGTCAAAGGTTCACTAACACTCAATCAATGGGTGCCCCCCACCCTCCTGCTTCTCTGCCTTCCTTGCATGAATGGGAGAAAGACAAAGTGGGAGAGCTGACCAGATACAACAGCGCCTCTTTGCAGTTGACTCTCAGTACAGAAGGCAGCTTACTCACCTCCTCACTGGCATGAGGACCCCATGCTACAGGATGCTCGGCCATGCAGGAAAAGGTGACGAAGACAGTGCAGGTGACACAGCATGACCTGGGTGTGGTGTGGATGACAAAGCCAGCAAACCACATGAAAGAGGTCGAGTTCATGGTCAAGGTGCACAAGGGCTCTTGCATCTGATGCCATCTGTCAGGTGTGAAGGAGATTGAGCATGTCAGTATGTACTCTTGCGAAATAGTTCTCGTGAGAAAGAGAACTGAGTACAATGACTTGTACAGGGCGACGTGGAGAAAAAAGGGCAGCGATCGCATTGCGCTGGTATGCACCATGTGTGGCATGCCGAAGAGCTCATGGGAGGTGACCAATCACTACATGAAGAAGAGCAGTCAGCACGATGTGTGCAGAGATGACAAGGCCCAGAGCTGGTACATGGAGTTGGGGTACATCATCTTCCGCGTCCCACATTTCAAACAAGAGGTCTTTCGAGCATTGGGGTTGCCCATCACAGAATTCGCTGACATCACAGAGTGGGCAACATACCTGAAGAAAACGACAACGCGTGTATTGAACGATTACCCCACTGACCAAAACTGCTCCAACTTGATTGACGCCATCTTCGCGTTCAAGACGCTCTTCATGGACGATAACAGGATTGACCATAGCATGATGAAGCTCAGCCAAGCCGTGGAGGAATACACTCGTGCATTTACATTGTCATTGCTGATAGGACACGCCTGATTTCACGTTAGCCGTCTGATTCCACAAAGCCGACTGCAGCTGCCCAGCTTGATTGTGAAGAGCCAGAAAGTCAACCAATCCCAGCCCTCTGCAAAACATCTCTACGTTACTCTTGCAGGCTTCACATTGACCCGACACCCAAAGTGCTTCATATACGAATATCTTCGTCATCGTGTAAACGTCGCCGATAGATTCTTGTTCCCAGTACAGCGACGTGAAACTAATGTATACTCACCAAATGGATTTAATTGAAGTCGTTATTTAAATCACTCACAGGGTACATAAGAAGGTGGAAGGTACAGAGATGTGACTCACATATGCTGATATTACAGTGAACGAGAGAAGGGGCCATGTACGTTGCACATCGACAAAGCATGGTGTAAAACACTGGGCTATGCCACCCGAGAGAGAGAAGAACGTTTGCCAGATCAGGTAGAAGTGATTGGAGGTGCTAGAATGACCAGCAAATGAGAAGAGAATAGACCGAGACACAGTATGATGTACGACACTGGACTGTGCAGTGACAGAAGAAAAGAAAGGATTGAGAGATATGAGGTGGCATCAATCACATGACCAAGTCAATTTCTTGACATGTCATTAAAGCGTTGCCACTGGCCTGATGTGGGGCGCGTTACATAGATGCTTGCTATATAACTGGTACGTTAAATAATGAGACTATGGTGCATCAACCGTCATTTAAATACAGGCCAATATCAGCCACATGACAGGCTGCATTAGGACCCCAAAAAAATGACAGATGAAGGATCCTGAACACCATGAAAATCAAATTCCTTATTGTAATGATGACAAAAATTGCTGACATAAATGAAATAACTCGTTAACATTTGACTTGCAGCAGGGCGCGAGTGATATCAGGTAGTGGAGTATCCTGGACATCACAAATTGTGGCAGAATTATCATATTCCACACACCAGTTTGAGCAAAAATTAAATTTTTGTAATTACTGATGCAT